TGTTTCTTAAAACAGTGCTGAGCATAACTTTGCGGTACTATTTTAACAGATTGTGCTATCCACTAAATGATATTCAATGCATTGACAAATTTTGCAAGCTGTTCGCTGTTTTTGCAAGAAGTTTGACGAAACCATGGCGCAAAATGAGTCTTCTGTAACAAACCTTGAAGCTTTTACTTGTACTTTGGTCCAAAGGCTGTAATACTGATGTGGCATTAGAAGGGAAATACACTAATTTCACTGATTTCAGTTTTATAGTTGGCGAATGGGCTGACGGCTTGTTAGGAAATAGCAGAATCTTCCTGCTTTTTCTAGACATTGTTGCGTCAAGAGAAATCAACCATTCTGACATTATGCTTTGCGGGTCATCCATGACTTTTTATTCTGATGCCAATGGACTAATAAAGCTTTTGATTAATGTTTTTGAAGCATCTTTGTTTATTGGCCTCACTTGAATATAAATGTCAATTATCACTTAGTGATGTTCAACGTAATTATTTTCCCTACATTTTCAGATGTGTGGATGACATTATTGCAATCAACAATTTAAACAAAATAGAAGAAGAAAATATTTATGCAACCTGCAAGCCTTAAACTAAGCAAAACTAGCCCACTTAAACAAGAAATTGTTTACCTTGATTTACAAATCTTTAACTACAAAGATATTAAAATATATAATAAAAGAAGAGATTTCAATTTTCGCCCCGTTTAACTTATCAATTAGGATTCCAACATCACCAAGAAAGTTATAATTAATACTATTAACACCCAAACTCTTAGAATCAAAAAGATTTGCAATGAAGTAGATTATCTTTAAGAAGAAATATAAAACTTCATTAAATTTCTCTTAGAAAATCAAATTCCAAAACTTGCAGTTTCACACATTAACTTTATCTTTTAGATTACTTGTTAGTATCGAAATGATATATTTTACCCAAACCTGAAAATAAGGTAACTGTATGGATGACTACAACGAGTAATTTAATGTAAATACATAATTCCTAATCGCTCTTTTTTTCTCTTTGAATTTAGCTAGGATTTTATAAAAGCACTATTAATTACGTACTTAATGGAATTGATGGCAGTCTATCCTGTATTACTAAAAGAAAGGGCCTATTTCAATTTCTAAAGACGTTTTTATAGCTCGATTACGAGAAGAATTTGCACTTTTTAAAACTTTCAGCCAGTTTTAAAGCTGAGATTGTAGAGATGCATTGCCATCTTGGATGATTCTCTTAAACAGTTAGTAGAAAACAACGCCATTGCTCGCCCCTGTTAATTTCTGCTTTGTTAACACAAGTTAACACTCCCCCCATTACAGTTTCACCACAAACTGAATCACTCTCAGAACGTGCGGGCTGTTTAAATGATTTTAGTCTTTGCATTTCGACCTTCACGGGATTTTCTGTAAGGTTCTTTTCCTCTGTTTTTACCTTGTTGGTAAAGCTCTTATCAGCGTTCATTTAAATTCGTGAAACCGTATCGGCATCCATTCTTTTGACAAAGCATTCTTCTGAGATGCAAGAGTAAGGAAAGGTTTGTCTTTTGTTTCTTAATTTTTTTGATTTTTATTTTTAATAAAAAAAAATTCATTTTAAGTCAGTTCGCTCCTGCAGCTTATTTTTCTGAGTATCTTTTGGCAATAATTTAAAATTCACAAAACCCTAATTTTCAAGTAATTGAGCCGTCCTTGCTTCAGGCTTTATATAATTCGACTGAACAATTTATTTTTCAGTTTTGAAGGAAAAACCGATTCTTTACTGTATTTATCTTGTTGTAGAATTTTTTTCTTGATTTAATTTAGTTTATGTAATTAGTATGTTTTGCCTTTTCTAGGTTTTTTTTTTTTTAGGTTTTTTCTAAAATTTCTATGCTTTTATTTTTATGGTTATTTAGCTTTTGTATACAATTTTTGGTCTGATTTGAGTACTAATACATGTAAGGAAAAGATCTGAACATTTTAGAATTACTAGAATGTTGTTTTAAAGGGAAGGTTTGATACTAAAATGCGGTTTTGAGTCTCACATTATTCAGAGGAACAAAACATGGTATTCCGAACTCATTTAATCAACTTGGTATAAGGCTTCAAAACACTTTTCTCTTGATACTTTCTGTTTGAAGCATTAAACAGAAGAGATTAATAAATAGTTATTTTGTTTTGTTTTGTATAAAGTTCTGTAAAATTGTTCTTTAAAGTTTCTCTTTATTCTGATATTAATTTTCGGTTAAAGATAACGTATTTGAAGATTTCTTTATATTTACATTTATTCGATAGATATATATATATATCACATTTGTATTCATGTAATCTAATGATATAATATACTTTTTACTTAAACAACATAATATTGTATTATCGGGTCATCTCATAACTAATGTCGTTTCTGAGACAAACATTATTAAAACATATTGTAACATATTTAAACCAGTGAGGAAAGATAGCGGTATTCAGGTAAATTATACCTAGCAAGAACGCGATTATTAATTCGTTACTTTAATATCAACTCTTGAAAATGGCGATCACAAAAGAGCATTGAGACATTTCTTGTTTTTCGAGTGTTCGAGGTAAGATACTTTTTAATATTCGCAAGTGCTAACGTTGGATCGCTAGATTTCGGCAAGGCGATTTTAGCTCAAAATATATCAGCCGATACGGGTGTCCTGTCATTTTTGTAATGCGTCATCATCATCAGCTGTCTATTACCATTTAAAGGAGCTTCGAATCATATCTAAGCTTGGCAGGTGGGTTCTACGCGAACTTAACTGATGCTAAGCGGAGAGAAAGTGTACACATCTGCATTGCTCCTTCATTCACATGAAAGAAAAATCTTTTATGAACCGTCTATTGACTGGCGCTTCGAAGCTTCCAAAATTCCATTGATGGAAAAGAATTCCCATGACATGCTTGAAATGGACTTTCAAGATTTTTTCTCCAGTGATCCTGCTGATGTTATTTATTAGACTGGCATGAAAAACCTATTACAAGGTTAGAAGAATGCTGAGGAATATATAGTTGACTAAATTAGCATCTTATTATTTTTTATTTCTTTAAAGCTTACTTAAAAAAACTGATGTGTACACCACACGACTTCCTTGTACGGAATATTAAATTATATGCATTTTTTCTTGCATTTCGTTTAAGCTTATTGAATTTAATTAAATCTACTTTGTCGACAGCGCATAAACCACAATAGAATAAATGCATTCTTTAAAATTCACTCTATTTGTTTACCATAGCGACACTCTGGCGCTAGGTTCACTTAATAGTTTTATATTTCGTTCATATTATAAATCAGAATGCACAAAATGTATATCATTTAAAGAATTATCTAATCGTTGCCACATGTCCTATTCGAATACTATAATAAAGCTAGAACGATGTATAAAAGAAATTAAGGAAACAACAACAACAAAAAAAAAAAAAAAAAAGTTTTTCAAAGACGATTGAGTAGTTCTCATTCAATTAATTCAGTTCTCACTTCGCGACAAGGCAAAATTACATAAAAACTCAAAATATCCGTATTTAAAATTACTAATTATTAAAAATTAAATTATTAAAAATTAAGTAAATTTGAAACACTTATTTCCTCGAAAAAATTCCAGAAAGGATTAAGCATGATTTAATTCGCAATAATAAATGAAAGCGTTATCTTTGTTGTTGCGAAGCTACGTTTCTCTATATTGGCAACAAATCCACTTCTCTGCTGTTTCAAATGTAAACAAGCAATGGCCGCCATCAAAAAAATTATTAGGCTTAGCTGCACTTAAACAACTTTAAAATTGTTGATAATTCTAAAAATATTGCATACAGATTTACTAAAGGCATGAAAACCTTAACCGGAAGATAAGAACAACATAATTCAATCATTTTGTAAAGCAAAAAATGTACAATTTACAAACATATAAGAGTAAAGAAACTGAGATCACTGAGCCGGTAACAGAGTGGATATATATATAAATATATTTATATACGTTTGGTGCGGCCGATTGCAACCAAAATGCGAGGTGTACATCTACATGTTATTGTAGTCCTATAAACAAAATTTCAACGTTCTGAGGCTACTCGTTTTTGAGTTATGCGAGATACATGCGTACGTACATACGTTCGTACAGACGCCACAAAAATTCTCTTCAGAATTCATTTTAAAGCAATTTTATAATTTTTTTTTTTTGAGGAAAAGAGTCTTTTATGCTGTCCTTACGTACAGATATCACGCAAAAACTTCGTTAAATTGCATTCGAGAGCGGTCAAAATGGATATTTTCGTTGAAATATGCTGCCTGAAACTTTTCGCGATTACAATACTTCCTTTTTACTTCGTACAAGGAAGTAAAAAGGGACATTACGAGATGGCCCAATATTCATGTTTCTTCTTTAACTCTATTGGCGTTCTTTACAGCAAACTTGAATTTTGTAAAGACTGCTTAGTAGTTTGTTGCTATTGTCTCCCATTGCTTAAGAGTTTTGTTCAAACATTTTGCATTTTTTATCAAACCTAAAGAAATAGGGAGAATATTTTATCTACTAAGCTCTTTAATTTTGATTTTTATTATTTATTCTGCTTAGGAAATTAATATTTTCGTTCTTTTAGAACTATTCAGGAACTGCTCGGGAAGTTAAAAATTATGGTTTAAAAAATTTTAGTACTTTGCATAAAAAGTCTTCGTAACTATACATTGAACTAAATCTTGTAATTTGTATAGTGTACTCTAAATTTGTAATAACTCATTTTAGCATTTATTTTCTCTATATTTCCAAATACATTACATTACTGATTCAAATAATAACGTATAAAGCATAAAATAAATATATAAACACTTTAATTAAAAACTTCTTACACATTTCAGAATTCGGATATACTAAAATAATGTATTATTTTCTAATATTTCCCCAAGGAAAGCAGTTTTTATAATACCGGCACTACTACGATCTTCGCCTAACATAAATTACGTTTTATGAGGAACGATAATAACTTTTTTCCCTCTGCTTTCTTCATGAAGGAACTGAAAGAAGGTTTCAATTATGGCCTATTCTGTCCGCCTGTGAATGGAAGAGCGGGAAAGTTTCTGGACGAAGAACGCCCCTTGGCAGATTACCCATTCACGGATAATGCGGCATATGTCGAAGTAAGTAAATGATAAATTCAATAACATACTTCCTTTCTATGTCCTTTGAATGTTAACCTTTGTTGCTAAAAGTCTTTTTACCTTATTACAGGAAGTAAATATGTCGTCAAAAACAGGTCAAAAGAGTTGAAGAAAATACATATTTCGAGTTTTCTGAGATAATGAAAAGATACGTTTTTAATTGACTAAAAGCTGTTCAATTAATTATGTTTATTGTTTTGACTGTCTGGCTAGATGATTCGAGCAAATGCGTAAATAATGTTGGGAAATAACGAAATTTCATACCTTTTTTTCATTTATATATATAAAAATTATCTGAAGTTTATAAAAATATTTTTCATTTATTTCAGTCGAAATTTCTTCTGTGTAATATAAAAAGCACTTGAACTTATTTTTCGAAACAATCCATAGATTTCAAGCTAAATGTCAGCAACCAAGCACCTTTGCGCAAATAATTGGGAAGTGCAATATTAGTCATGACCTCCAAATATGCGTTTGTCTTTCTCTTTCATTGAAAACGGAGTAAATTCTTCTAATTTTAAATTTAAATTGCATAATAATCTAACCATAAAAGGTGTAGTAAACAAATGAAGAACAGCATTTTGTTGAGACGCTTAGGATTTTCAGAACAGAAAACATGATAAACTAACCGTCCGAAATTCGAACAATAGATCTTTCATTTGCTAGCGGGATGGCCTAACTACTAAAGTTAAAAGAACACGAACAATAGATTACAATAATTACTTATAATCTGTCCTACATAAAAAGTAACTGTACATAGGCATGGCATGTGTCAATCACACGTGGTGGCTAATTATTATTCGCCATATTTTAATCAACATCTCTACAGTAACTGTTAGCCATTATGAAGCGAAATTAAAAATGAAAAATCAACCGTACTCTTTTCGGGATTCGAACCACGGAGCTTTCAGGTGCTTGTTGAGTATGGTAATCACTTTGACAACAACGACAAGTAAGCAGAAATGCGACAAATCTTATAATTTAAATTTTGAATTAGATGACTTAATTTTAGAAAACCACACTAGGCTTGCATGCATATTCAGGCTTATTAGAATGTTTTCTGAGGCTAACTACTAATGTTAAGCTATTAACTAACGTTACTATTTGCTGTACAGTGACGGAAACAAAGAAACCCTCACGCAGTTAGCCCTCAAGAAGGGAATACGAAATTAAGTATGGATGTTTCTCAGCTTATTGACCTCGGGGAAATACGTAACAAAGCATATGTAATGATATATTAGGTGTCTCAAAAGTAACGCAGAATTTTGATTTAAGAAATTAACCTCCATTTATGAATAAATTAACAAAGTTAGGACACATTTTGAAAGGATATACATTAATTAAGGAAACTGATTAATTACTACTGAACACAGTAACTATTACTGATTAACAATTAAAAATAATATCAGGAAAATGTCATCCACCCGTCTGAGGTGAAATCGATGCATTTCCATCCCTCTACGTGGTCATTCAGTTTAAACTTTTCAGTTATGTGAATCTTGCAAAGGCGCACACGCACATATTTTGTCATAAATCGCTGCATGCTGCTCCTTGAAATATCTAATTCAAGACACCAACTGCGAATTGACGTTCTCGATCACTTGCAACACTGATGCTCATAGCAGCAACGGTTTAGGTACTAGCACATTTACGTCTTTTGCTATCCGTCATCGAAACTCTTTGCTCAAACTTTTGAACCACTCCAACAGTCGAATACCTCATACCATGTAGTCTGCGCACAATTTCAGCACAATACTCCTCGTATTTGTGATATACTTTCACAATAGTTAAACGCATTTTCATTTCGTGTTTCTTCATCACGACTAACTTATGAACGGAATATGATTACGGCCAAGGTTACTATACTAAAAGGTTTGCTCTTCTCGACCAAGGTCAAATGCGTGGTGACGTCGACGTCCTGCTCCAAAGCAAGACTTCTCCCAGTTCTATGAATAAGGTGACGTCATTGAGCAAATACACTGCTGGCCACCCAAATTGCAACACCAAGAAAGACAAGAGATATCACAACAAAATTTATTTAGTAGATAACATGTTGACCAAGTATCAAATGATGAAATTTATAGACTTCAGTGAAGTGGGGTTCTTTCCAGAACCAGTAGCCAGAGTAGCCGCCATTAATGGAGATCAGAGCTGCCACACGCCTCGGCATTGATTCAAAGAGACTTTGGATGTGTTCTTAGGGTACAGCAGACCAAGCAGCTTCCACACGTGCCAAAGTGGATCTGGTGTGGCAGCTTGGGATGCAATCTGGGTCAATCGTTCAGCAACCATGAACTACATGTTTTCTATCGGCGAAAGAACCGGACAGCGAGCTGGCGATTGACGAAGAACCCTTGGAAAATGCGTGCCCCGTGTGGGCGCGCATTATCTTGTTGAAATATGGCTGTGGGCAAGCCTTGAAGGTAAGGAAGGACAACTGGCTCCAAACCTCGGAGATGTAGCGCTGGCTGTTTAAAGTACCGACAATGCGTATTAGAGGAGTGCGAGAGTGATATCCAATACCGCCCCATACCATAATACCCGGTGCAGGACTAGTGTGGTGGTGTATAACGCAGCTGTTCAGCATCATTTCTCCACGGTGTCTCCAGACTCGAATTCGACCATCGTGGTCTGGCAGAAGCGTGACTCGTCAGTAAAGACAATTCATTGCATTCTGCCGTCCACATCCTTCTTTCATCGCAACATTGGCGGCGGAGACGTCTGTGGTTCTACGTCAAGGGTAGACGAAGCAATGAACGTCTTGCGGACAGACCACTCTGCTGTAAACGGCGTCGAATGGTATGCGCAGACACTGGATGATGCGTTACAGATTGAATGTGCTGCTCTGTGGTTCGCGATGTGACTGAGCGATCCGTCACTGCCATGCGTACAATGTTCCTGTCATCACGTGAAACGGTGCACTGAGGTGGACGCGATCGAACACGTCGTTCCGTCGTACCCTCCTGCATCCGACGGTCAGATATCCGCATTACAGTTGTTTGGTTTCTTCCAACACGACAACCGATTTCCCTGAAAGATAATCCACACTCTCGGTAGGCCACTATCCTTCCTCTGTCGAACTCGGATACTTGATCAAACGATGATCGCTGTTTACTACGAGGCATAAATGATTGTTTTTTTGTTTTTGTTTTTTTTTTTTTTTTTTTTTTGAAAAACAACCACAAGAGAAACACAATTGCCGAACTTGAAATCGTCGGAAACTCCAAGCCTTAAATAGCGCATTGAAGTGGCGCCACAGGCGCGCGTGATGTGCGTCTGCGCTGAAATTCTAATCATTTACACATCTCACCTCCGCTAATGCATGTTGTAAATTTCATGTTATTTGCATGCTTCCTTCAGGGTGTTGCATTTACGGTGGCCAGCAGTGTAGATAAGATACGTCACTGTGTCGAGCGTCGGAAGAAAATTGACCTTGAAAGATCATAACTTTGTCTGATTTCTGACCTTGGTTATCACAACATATGCTTCAGAGAGCAAATGAGAAAAATGGCGCGCGATTTAAATCCTATATTAATTTTGAGATATCCTATATTAATTAATGTATCAGAACATTGTTATCGCTTAATTTCTTCTCTTTCCTCCTCTATCTAGAAAAATCAAAAAAAAAAAAAAAAAAAAAAAAAAAAAATCAGCTATTTTTTACTAGCACTATACAGGCATGGACATTTTTATATTGACTACTTTTTGCTTTGCTATTTCAAGTATCTCCTCGAAATAAAATTATTTTACATTTTATATTGGAATAAGAAATTGGTGTAACTGACAAAATTTTAAGGACATTAGCGTGACTAAATTGGGCTTTAAAAAAACGAAAAGTTGCTTAAATTTAATATAAAGACCAAAATTCCTTTTTCATGAAAAAGCACTCTAGAGTTATTTGCTTTGAAAGAGATGTCTTCCTAAAAAGATTTTCTAAAGAAAATTGATTCATTTTTTATTTCGATTTTCTGTGATGCTTCGAGATTCATGAGAATCTTGCAGTCAGTCTGTCTGGTGCTCTGATAAAAATGGGAAAGAAAGTGCCAGAAAGAATTCTGCCATTATGTTTATTGCCCGCTGCTGATCTAGCAATACTCGGAAGAAGAAAAAACACAAGCGCCATACTAAAAGCGATCTCAGCCTTTGAAAACTAATTGTATTTTAAGATTTTGAGTTACTCCGTTTGTTAAAGATTCTGAAATACCTAACAAACATCCAATTAAAAGTTTATTTATAGACTTTAAAGACATTGTAACTTTTCATCACTTGTTACATAGCTAATCCTTTTAAAGTATAAAATTGCTTTACGATATTAAGATAAAATTCCCATGCGGTTTTACTTCACAATTAACCCTTTGCGGCACAGTGTGTCCGGTCTGGACACACCTAAAAATTTCCTGTATGCACAGAAAAATTGAATGAAAAAGGATTTGTAGGTTACTATAGGTTACTACTGAACCTTCTTTATTTAGTAGATGACAGCTCAACACAAACCAGTCCGTATATATCCATTCTAGCTCAATACAAACCAGTTTTTTAAGACCCTCATTTTTCAAAGAAATCTTCCAGATTTTTTTAGGGTATAAAAGGAATTGTTTGAAATGAAATTTCTCTGTTATTTTTTTGGCTGTATGCTAATTTCCTTATTATATACTAGTTTTAAATTTGTACCCTGAAATATTGCCTAAAATCAAACGGCGAACCCTAGGTGTGCCCAGACCGGGCTCACCGATAATCTAGGACAACTGAGAGTCTGTATTCTTTGTTTCTCCGCATCTCATCGGTCAGTTCATTGACAACAAAGATCGTTTCAGCACTCTTTTCGAAGCTCTATTCAATCAGGGTTCCACTTTGGGCACATCCACAGAATTAAAACGATAAGTGCTATCTATCTTCACAAAATTTTACTTGTGTACTCCGCTAGGCCTAATTAGACTGTTTACTTTTTTTTTTTTTTAAAAAAAACTCCGACTTTAAAAGGTAGCGTTCCAGAAAGGGTTAAGAGGAAAAAAGCTTTCGTAAATTTAGCAAATGTCATTTTTCTTAATCAGTACAATAATGCATAAATTTCTTATTTTATCCATAATTGCTCTTTAAATATGTCGATGAGTTTTATTATTGAGCTTTATCTGTGATTTTTAATTGTTTCAAAAAGACAGTTTATCAAATTAAATATTTTTCTGGCAGAATTTGTCCAGTTTGTTACATCTTGTTTTTGTTTGGCTATATTTCTATTATTTTTATGTTTCAGAGTCTTATATGTATTGTTTTAATTTTTTTTATCAAAACCAATCCCTACCATTCAAAAACCACTCTTCATAGTTATCATTGTTCAGTCTTGTATATTTATGATATGAACACAATAGTATGAATTCAAAATACTCGTTCGATAAAGCTACAGAATATATTGAGGCCATTTGAAATTCGTCTATCCGAACATCCTATTCAGAGATTAATAATAAAACAAGAATCTACGAGACTTTTCCAAATCTTTTATCCTAATGGTTTTTGTCAAAACTGGAATGGGGCTTTGCATTTTTCATGATTGAGTAATTTAATTTTTCAATCATTTGAGCTTTGGAACAGCAATAAATCCAGACTGATATTACATAGTTATTACAAATTCATTCATTTACACTGCATACAACAAATGTAATATACTTTTCCCCAGTGAGTGTAATAACAAGTACGTTTGTGATAAAGCTACAACAGCAAAGTTTATAATAGCTCTGGCAATTACTTTGTAGAGTATACACGTAGGTTTACTAAACAGTTATTTATGTTAACTAGCTTTGCTGACTTTCTAGCTTTCAATTTTTCTGTCAGAATGCTAATTCTAGTTCGTGCATGAAATGAGGTAGAAAAGAGATGGTATTTAAAGAATGGTTTAGATAGTAGAATTACAGCATGTTCCACACGTTTGCTACTTGATTCTCTTGAGAGCAGTTTATCTTGGCTTTGCGTTCTTCTCGCCATTTAGCCTGTAAAGACGATATTAGGATTTTAGCACCCGTTAGCAAGTGAAAAATCTACGGTTTGAATTTTAGTTAAGACATTGAGTTTTCCCGTTTTCTAATCCGAACAACTTGATGATCTCTATAGTTTCTTGCTATCTTCAAGTTTTATTGAAACCAGTGTAATAGTGTTCACCGAATTTATTCTGCTTCTGTGTTTCAGCTTTTGGATATGAAAGAAAAATCGTTTTGTAACTTAAGTATTCCTAATTAAGGCATCTAAACTAAGAAAAACTTTGTTTTCATTTTCAAATTAACAATTCTGAAGTGTTTATAAAATTTCGATAATAAAGGGGGCTTCTCGTTAGCTGCTTAGATTTATCAAAGAAACGAAACTTTACAAATATAAAACATATTTTTTCTCTTTGCTTTGTGGGGAAAATGTAACATAAAAATCAATCGGAATGCTTTCTGTTTCCTTTCGTTTCGTATTATCAAAGTTTTATTTTATTCTTAATTTATCATGCCTTCACAGTCGTTTCTAGTTAGTTGAGATACAGAAAAATTTTGAATTTTAAATTTTAATAATATAAAACTCAGTGTAATATTTTACAATGACAACAAGTATTGCTTAATCCTTGTAATATAATTCATCATTCAATAAATTATGAAACAGAAAATATTCATGTCGAAAACAATTTTTTTTTCGGATTGATGATATCCTTCTACTTTGCTTCCTTTACATAACATAACTAACGACTTTCGTGAAAAATTATAATTGCTGACCATAAAATACGTTGGACTTTGCCCTTAACGTTTAACCAACATGGTGATCAATTTGTGAATAAATGATATTATCAGATATCTGAGATTCATAGATAAAAATATATTTCTTAGAAACACCTTTCAAATGTGTATCCGATAGCCATAGAAAAGATTAATTATCTGAAATGAAGCTGAGATGCGTTTCCTTCTTTCATTAATAGTAACACTTTATTTCACATTGATAGTTACATGTTTTCCGTTTCATGCTATGATACCCAAACCATTTGAAGACTAAGATAAAATAACAACATAGTTTAAGGAAAACAACATCTCTTAAGCTCTTAATTCACATAACATGTGCAAGGAGCTCAAATTGAAAGTGAGATAAAGTACTTCTAAAGGTACGCAAGTTTCAGCATATTTTGAGAGAAGTGGTTCAATGACTTCTATAGTGTTCCGTTATTTGGTTAAGACGTTAAATGGTATATTTATATTAAAAATCTGATGTGCACACCATATGGCTTCCTTGTACGGAATATTAAATTATACACATTTTTTCTTGCATTTCATTTAAATGTATTGGATTGAATTAAATATACTTCTTCGACAGCGCATAAACCACAATAGAAAAAATGCACTCTTTAAAATTTTCTATCTTTCTTTACCATAGCGACACTCTGGCGCTAGGTTCACTTAACAGCGTTATATTTCGTTCATATTATAACTCAGAATGCACAAAATTTATATCATTTAAAGAATTATCTAATCGTTGCCACATGTTCTATTCAAATACTATAATAAATCTAGAACGATGTATAAAACAAATTAAGCAAACAAAACTAAAACGAAACAGTTTTTCACAGACGATTCAGTATTTCTCATTCAAATAATTCAATTCTCACTTCGCGACAAGGCTCAAAATATCTATATTAAAGATTACGAAGTATATCTTAAACACTTATTTCCTCGAAAAAATTCCAGAAAGGATTAAGCATGATTTAATTCGCAATAATAAATGACAGCGTTATTTTTGTTGTTGTGAATCTTAATCTCTCTAGATTGGCAACAAATCTACTATTCTGCTGTTTCAAATGTAAACAAACATTTCTGCCACGTTATTTAAAAATTAGGCTTAACGGCACTTAAAGAATTTTAAATTGTTGATAATTCTACAAATAATGCTTGCCGATTTCTTAAAGGCATAAAAACCTTAACCGAAGATAAGAACAACATAATTCAATCATTTTTTAAAGTAAAAAATGCACAATTTACAAACATATAAGTAAGAAACTGAGATCACTGGAGGCGGTAACAAGTGCATATGTATATATATAACTTTTAGTGCGTCCCGATTGCAACCAAATACGAGGTGCACATCTACATGTTATAGCAATCCTATCTTCAAATTTCATTCACGTTCTGAGGCTACTCGTTTTTTGAGTTTGCGAGATACTTGCGTACGTACACGTACCTACGTACAGACACCAACGAAAAATTCTCTTCAGAATTCTTTTAAAGCAGTTTTGTAATTTTTTTGGAGGAAAAGCGTCTTTAATTCTGTCCTTACGTACAAATGTCAGGCAAAACATCGTTAAATGCATTCGATAGCGGTCAAAATGGATATTTTCGTTGAAATATGCTGCCTGAAACTTTTCGCGATTACAATACTTCCTTTTTACTTCGTACAAGGAAGTAAAAAGCAGAAAGACTTGATTTTCCGAATCTTGAATCGTTTTCAAGAGTAATATGATTTTAGCATTCGAATATCTTAAATTAACTGAAAGTCATAAATAGAATATCACATACAATGCCTCATTTTGAACATAAAGTAATAAGAAATTACTTTACAGTATATTTATTGTCCTGCCGTTCTCATAAGATGAAACAGTATAATTAAGCTAAAACCATAACGAGTATTATTTAGTAGAACAATTAAATGACATCGTTTTTCTTTTTAGCTAAGGTACAAGCGTAGGATATACAAAATTAACATGGAAGAGAAGCAACTGAAACAGCTCCATAGTAGGGTAAGTAATTACTTTTAATGCTGTATCTTATATTTTCTAAATGATTGTGGTCTACGAAACTGCGTTACAGTCCTGGTTAGATTTTGAGAGCCATGACTTATTTCATTAACATTTACCCCTATCCTTACAAAAGTACAATAATCCTTACAAAAAACACGAATTTATCAAAACTACCACGAGAAAAAATTATTTATCTTAGTTTTATTTTGAAATGCCGTCTATATTTTATACCTGGATTTATGTGATTTTAATATATTGCTTTAGTTTTTTTGGACATATTTTAAGATGGACATATATATATATATATATGTGTGTGTTCTTACAGATATCACAAAAAATAGTCTAGACCATATATAATACACACAAAATAATTCTAGGCCACAAAAAATATTCTAGGCCGTATACGGCTTTGCCTGTCAAAAGATAAAGCAAAACAGCAATTGTCAGTAAAGCAGTCTTAAAAGCAAAATTTCGTCAAGTAAAGATTCCTAAAGCGAAAGAACACAGATATTTCTATTACATGTATTTTCACATGGATTTCATGTTCCTAAAGCAAAAGGGCCCATGTATCATACCATCTGATGCATTTCTAGCATTAAAATTGCTTCCCATGAAGAAAAGTAAATAGTAGAATTATATTTATTTTACAAACGCGTTATAATGCCTGATTGAAATGATTGAAATTTCAGATAGTTTTGAGTGACGAAACAGATAAAAACCACTACCCCGATTATCCGTCATAGCAAAAGTAGCAGCAGCTGCATCGCTTGTAGGAAGTCGAACAGACTTTGATTGATGTTTTAGATACTGTAGTTAACGCGACTTCGGTTAAAGGCCCACCACCGATCGAGCGTTAAAGTCATTAAACACTGGTAGTTTCGTCCGAGGTTCTAATCCCGCGAACGGGCTGGCTGCATGATCAATTTCGTGGTTTTCTCCATGTATAATAAGCCAGTTTCTCTTAGGAATTCCTTCACGAAGGAATCCATCTGCTTAGGCGGATAACAATGGAGGTTTTGCCATAATCACATAAACCAAACACCGAATTTCATTTGTCAATATTTAATTGCTTTAAAAGGTCCTGGTGTGGAAGTCTCTATGCATCTATTGACTTGATATTTTCAATTGGTGATAGTCTAGGAGAACGCGCTGGCGAAGGCAGGAATCAAAAACCCCGCGTATTTAAGAAAAGTATGGGCAAACTTGTATGGGCAACATTCGGTTTCGCATTGCTCAGTAACCGACATGAGCTGCATGCGTATTAAATTGTATTCTAAACCATCAATATAGGTTTTGGGCCGGCCTAATAGCGATGTTGACAAAGTGCCTGTCATCTAGAGCATTGGTAAGAAGAAGTCGTTCAAATTCCGCACATCGTTCTGATTGATCCGTTTGGACCTATCAATTGCAAATTCTCTTAACAACATTGGATTTCGGTCGTCACGAACTGAGTTCCGTGGTACGATATTCCACAGTCCTGGTAAACCTTCCGCGCTCGAATTCTGAGATGTGTGGATAAGAATTGTTTTTATACGAGGCTTAACACGATACTCATCGAAGAAATGCGATTTCCGAATGAAAAATAAGCCTTCAGTACGATCTTTTGTACTCCTTCGAGGTGTTTTTCTCTTACCAGTAATGTGCGCATACCGTAAAAAGGTAATGGTTTCCATATTGCAGCATGTTCAAACTTTCATGTAAATTTAAATTTTGTTGTGCCTTTCCTTCATGGCGTAGCAGTTTTCATGGCCAGCAATGTAGCTTTTTAATTGACTATTTTAAGTAATAATCGCCCATTCGAGCCTAAGTCAAACATATTTATAAAAACATTTAAACGAATTTATTGTGAGTTTTGAGCATAATCAATAACTTCAGTCTGGATTTACAAAACAAACTTGGTAGAGTGTTACTCTGACTTACACTCAACGAACACAACGTGAGTTTACTCTATTTATAATTTAAACTTTAGCTTCACTGAAGTAAGATCTCTTTTTTTAATTTAATTTAATTTAATTAAGAAACTCGCTCATAATAAACAAATTCCTAGTTAATCAATAATTTCTGCTACAAGTTAAATATTAAGATCTTACTAATATTCGTAACAGAAAGCAGCTAATCATACCTAATGTCAAAGTTTAGACTCGAGGTAATGAAGCATATTAGTAGGGTATTTTTTAAGATTTTTTGATTTGTTTATCGTCAGTGTGCTTAAGATCTTCGTAACAGAAAGCAGCTAATCATACCTAATGTCAAAGTTTAGACTCGAGATAATGAAGCATATTAGTAGGGTATTTTTTAAGATTTTTTGATTTGTTTATCGTCAGTGTGCTTCTGAAAGGAACAAACAGAAATCTAAAAGAGAAAATTAGAATGAAAACTGACAAAAAACTCCTTTTTTGTTTAGTAAACAAAATATATTTTATACAGCGTTCCATCGTAAGTAGTATGATTCTCGTTGACATCCTATCAAAACACATGGATTCATTTAATAGGGGTGTCAGGTAAAATATTTCTGGTGGATTTCAATAACATGTATTTAGTGTAATATACAATAACACTATTACAGCAGTTTTTTATGTAATTATTACCTAAAACTTTCTCCTTCTATTATTAAGCTATAAAGATTAAAGATAGAATTAATTAGTAAATATATAAATATATCGTTCCGGGTGGTATATTTGTAATCATGATCATATTAGCTGGGTTAAATAACACTATATTATTCATTTATGTAGAGCATTGAATTGCACATGTATAACAATAAGGTACTAAGATAGTGGAAATATTTCATATGAAAACGGGCAAGCGTATTTCGGAATTCCTATGTTACGCATATTTGCGCGAAATATCTTCTCTGCCCTCTAAACTAACCTGAAAGAATCAAATTTATGTCAAAATTATTATCTACTTTCCCAGCGATGAAGCATTACAAATCAATATTCAATACAATAGCATTCACAAAATCAAGGAAAATGTTACGTTGCAATGCATATCAAATAAGATTCAAGCATTAGTTTATCCCTAGCTATATTCAATAATATTTTAAAATATACAGTCTAATAAAATAAATAGTATCTTTATGAACAGTTAAGGAACAAGTTTTTTTATCTGTTTCTCATGATTATAATATTTGCAAAACACTAATTATTTTTTATTCATAAAAACAATCTAAAAATATTGAAATAATTCTTAGAAGTAATGTCCATATATGTACTATAAAAAGACACATTTTTTAAAAAAATTTATAAAAAATCACATTGAACAAACTTCCTAAGGCCATAAGTTTATCAGGTTCAATGTTCCGTCTTACTTTCTTCGGGAACATGCAAGGACCTGACTCGGAACAGAGAGCTTACTAAAGCTATGTTCAATAACTGTGGGAAGTAGACAGGATACACAAGAAGGGTATACAAAACCCTTTATTTTTCTCTATTTACAATAACTTCCGTACTTCGGATTACAAAGACCCACTAAACGTAAAAATATAAAAATAAAACTAAACTCTAATTTAACTTTAAAATAATAAACGTGGAAGATTGGCCTTATATTAACAGGAAGCCGTATGTAGTACAGAGAACTGTGAACACTACAATACGTTTAAAAATTATCAAGAGGATTAAAACCTCTGGCCTGGAAGGCAACCAGCAACTGAGTAAAACTTCTAAGGTAAGCGGCCTGCTTCGACTAACTGCTTCCTCTCTCTCGCTTGGCAAAAAGCCACAACTTAAGCACTTGGCGTTCGCCAGACAAACTTTGCATAAATACGTTAACGCTTATAATTCTGGCCGGAAGTAGAAAATAAGAAGTGATAGTAAAGATTTAAAATAAAATAAACGTTAGTAAAACTTAAGATCCTTACAAGTTTTACCTATTTAGACCATAAGAATGGACGAATACAGATTTGGGCGGTTTTAGAAAAGCAATGGTGATAGAAAATAATTGCTTTTTGTAAATTTCTGCTTCTTTCAAACTTCAAAAATTGCCTAAACTGATACCAAAGGATCTGAAAACTGCAGACGTAAAACGGAGAAAATAATCCTTCTGAGACTTAACTATTTCTCTAGGTACGATTTTAGTTGTAACATTATCTTATTGACGAATGCTTGCTTAAATTGCTGATGAAATTTTTAGCTTAAGGATTCATCATACAAGTATTATTCTTTAAATACGAAGAGAAACACCTCAGTATTTCTCTTCGTATTTACTTAAAATAAGGATTGCTACTAATAATGTAACACAACGGCTTTCAAGAGCAACGGCAAGACAGAGTTCAGAAAATGGTAAATGGTGAGAGTAAGAAAAACTTCAAAAGAAAAAGATTTCCGGAATGATAGTAACAGACTGAGTGTAAAAAGACAAAGAACGATTTAATTATGTTGAAGATTTAATGATGATGAATGTTCATCATCAATCTGAATAGTACAGATGGTTTTGGAATCATCATCATAATTGTCTTGAACTGATAATACTAACTATAGGTATATTTTTATATAGTAATTTGAGGAGGAAACCAGAAAATGTTTCAGATAATACTTTGAAATATGTATTTATTGTAGATTTACGATGGTTTTAATACTCTTTTAAATAACCATTTGTGTTTAGTAAATATTTTATGTCTCATATCGTTATTAATAACTATAGTGATATTCCTTCCAGGCTAACCTTCGCAGGCTTCTCGACCACATTCATAACAATCATGTGGAGAAAGTGACCAAAATGTGCTCAAGGGGTTTGGATCCCAATTTTCATTGCCAAGAAACAGGAGGTGAATATACAAATTTTATTTTTTAATCTAATATTTTATTTACTATTCAAATCCATTCATCCACTCGACAGAAGTTTTTTCCCTCAATCAAGATATTTAAAAAATGCTTTAACTACTTTTTATACTCTCTGAGTCCAACGTTCATTAGTAAGGAATTTTCGTTACCGCATGCCTTCGTTGATGTTATTAGAAGCACATCCAACTAGTAATCGAAAGGTCCGGAATTCGAATTCTGACGAGTCCATCGTTGATTCTTTATGTTTTCAGGCTTTGAAATATCTAACTACACTAGAAATAAAGCACGAACTCACACTTTCGTAGACAATAATTCGACACCACCAGGATTTGGCGTCTGAAACCTTTTTTCTGTGCTCGCCCTTTAAGTGGGAAAAGAAAGTAAGAAATTCTGTCATAATAATTGGCGCAGATTTTTTATGGTGTAATTGGCGAGAGGATCACTGATGTTTCAGATTTCTCTGTTTTGAAATCCTTAATGACTTTATATATTGTTACGTTATTTTCTTCCTTCGCGTTCGTACGGGGTTCGTAGATTTGGAGTGAATAACGAAGACACTTGATGAAGTAACGAAACACACTTTATTTTGCCAATATTAATTAGGACAGCTCCAAAATCACTTTTTACTGTCGTTGAAGAAACACGCTGACACAATAAGCCTTCACACTATCAGGCTATAACGGTCGAGACAGCTTCGCTGCAAAGCAACCGAGTACAGCTCCTAACTTTGCTCGGTCGCTCTCGGAACTCCACGTACTCTTGAGACTCTCCACGCTATCCTCTCGCCCGGAAGGACAATTGCTGTAATTGTCCTTATTACATTCCAGCTCCACTGGATATAGTAGTTGCACTGGTCTTTTGATCGTATGGCCATTGGGCTCCCAGGAAAGACTTCCATTATGATACCCATCTTCCACATCAGCCTTGGAATTTTATCTTCATGCTCTAATACATTAGTTCCTTTCTTCAAACAGGTTCCTGTTTTCGCCAGTTTGGAATGATGAGCAGATTTTAAATTCATCAAATAATCCTGCCTCTATTTTCGCCAGATTCTTTCTACCAGTATCTATTGATGTCTAAATCGACGTGTAAGACTCTCCTTTGTTGAAGTTAATTTAGAGCTTCTTTGTGGCAATGATAGTAATCGTCTTCCTATTAAGAAGTGACCAGGCATCAAAGATTCCGGCTCTCCTAGATCCGAGTATGTAAATGTTAAAGGTCTGGAGTTAAATATAGCTTCCACTTCTGTCATGACTGTCTCTAATTCCCTGAATGTCAAGGATGATTTGCCTAGGATTCTCTTCAGAACAGCTTTCAGAGACTGAACCATACGCTCCCAAAAACCTCCCCACCATGCCACCCTCTCAACTATAAATTTCCATTTGATTCCTTGCTTAGAGAACTCGTCTTGAACTTTATTGCTTTTCATCACCCCGTTCAGTAGCTCTAATTCTTTTTTCGCTCTTTTAAAGGTTTTGGTGTTATCGGTATACACTATTCGGCACAAACCTCTTCTCGCTATGAAGCGTCTAAATGCAAGCAAAAACTTTTCTGGGGAAAGGTCAGCCGTAAGTTCTAAATGCACGGCTCTAGTTACAGCACAGGTAAACAGTAAAACGTATGTCTTAGATAATTTTTTTCCACTTTTGACGTACAGTGGACCCGCGTAATCTATTCCGGAGTTCTCAAACGGAAAGGCTTCTCGGCATCTGTCTGGTGGGAAAGGTGCCATATCTTGCATGACAGGTTGATTTCGAAATATTTTGCAGACATTGCAATTGTACAGAACACTTTTAATTTTCCTACGAGCCTTCAGCAACCAAAATGTATCTCTTATCTGATTTAAAGTATCTGCTATTCCTCCGTGCCCTACCACCTGATGACTGTGAAGAATAATTAGATCAGTCAAATGATCTTTGTCGGCAACAGGATTGGATGTGCTTGTTTGTAATCCAAATTTGAATTTTCTAATCGTCCACCAACACGAGTTACATTACTTTCATCTACAAATGGACTGAGGGACTTCAGTTTTGATTTTGAACCTAAATCCTCGTTGTTCTTCAATGCCCGTATTTCATTTATGAAATTTCGCTCCTGAACACGTTTGATCCAATAAGTTTCTGCCATTTCCAATTCGGTAACCTGTAAACATCCTGATAATTTTGAAGTATTTTTAACATTGTTGATGAACCTTAAGCACCACGCAGTAATTCGGTAAATTCGGTGTAAATTGCTGTAATTTTGGGTTTTAAATAAATCTTCGGAAGGTTCGGTAACGCATGCATTTACGAAAACTTCCTTCGATGTTTTTCTTAGTTCCTTGTTGCATTCTTCAATGTTCTTTGTGGAACATTAATTCGGTTTTGGCCAGTGTTCCATTTCTTCCTTTAACCACGCGGGCCCTTCCCACCATATGCTATTCTGCTTCAGATGTTTGACATTTTCACCTCTAGTTAGCAAATCAGCTGGATTATGTTCACCAGGCGTATATCTCCAGTTCAAGACATCTGAATTCTTCTGTATTTCCTTTACCTCTGTTCTGAACGAATGGCTTTCCACCTTTTCACATCACTTCTAATCCAAGCTGTAACGTTATACTAGAATCAGTCCAAAACATATATAACAATGCAATAAATCAATGTCCTGAAGTTTCTTTTTATTTTTTGGATATATTTTGACAAGCGGGAGCCTATCAAAGCGTCCCATCAATTCCAATCTGGGAAGTGATAATTTTTTCAAAGGCGCTACTCGTGATTTTGATGTAATGAATGCTAGTGTATGAATGGACTCCATTTTTCGAATAACGAAAATACAGAACAGCTCCCATAGGTCCTTCTGACTCGCATCTGTGAAACAGTGTAACTGTAAATCCATCCTTTTATATCCCTTTTCCCAGCACCTGCAAATGTCTTGTGATGTCTTGGTATTTCTAAACTAGAAATATGAGCTAATTCATCACACCAGCTTTGCCAATTCTTTCCTGAGATTTTCTGGTATTTCAGTGTCCCATGCTATCTTTTGTTCCCATAAATCTTGCAATAAAATCCTAGCTCGAATGGTGTATGGATTTAAAAACCCCAGTGGATCAAAGAAACGTCCTACAAATCTCAAGATTTCCCTTTTAGTTGGTATGTTATCTATCCTTTTGGCAAATCTTTTACAAAAATCTTCAATTTCTATCAAAAATGTATCATTTGACCTATTCCATACGTATCCCAATACTTTAGAAACAAGTCGAATCTTGTGAAAAATCTTCTTCATTCCACAGTACCTATTTGTAAATTCGTTTCATTCGTTTTCCACTTCCGCATGTTAAATCCCCTTCTTTCAGTATGCGTTTAATATGTTCCGATTCCTCGAATGCTTCTGAATTCGTTCATCTGCTCCAGCGATTACGTCGTCAACATACATATTTTCAGTTAGCATGGAAAATACGTTTCGGAATACTGTAACTTGTATTTGTCAGCGTGTACAATTAAGAGTTGGTCTGAAGAAGAAACGGACAAGATGTTGCTCCAAAAATTACCCTTTGTCATACGAAGAAGCCTTTATTTTAGTTACCATTTAATTCATCCATCGTTCCATAGAAACTTGACTGCGTTTCTGTCTTCATCAGCAAGGGAAATCTGCAAGAATGCTTGTTCGGTGTCAGCTGTAAACGCAATTCGATTTTGACGGAATTTAAGGAGCAATTCCAGTATGTCTGGACACATCTTGGGACCTGAATGTAAACAGTCATTTAATGACAAACAATTCTCCGCATGTAACGAAGCGTCAAAAACCATACGGAGTTTTGTAGTTTACTTGTTTTCTCTTATAACGGCTTGATGTGGCATAAAATACGTTTTTGGTCCAATTTCAATGTTAGTCTCTTCGGCGGTTCCTTCTTTTAAGTACTTATCAATTACTTCGCGATATCTGTCATAGAACTGTTGATTATCTTGAAATCTACGACTTAAACTCTTAAATGTAATTTTAGCAATCTCCAGATTATCTTTAAGCTCATTTGAATTATCATTCCAGGGAAGGCGAACAATATAACGATTGTTTTCAAATTTCACAGATCTTTTGAAATTATCGAAAACTAAATTGTCTTCTAATTCGAGTTCCTTATCCGAATCATAATTTATTCCCATAGAATCGAGCTCCCAGAGATTCTTCAGCAAACTAGACAGTGATTTATTCTGTGTATCTTTATTATTATGAACCACAACCTTCATCGTATTCACATTACTTGGTGAAATTCCGTAAGCCCTTTCTGTTCTACTAATGGTCCAACCCAGTTTTGTTTCAACCGCTACTAAGGAATTAGACAGTCTGTGAACCTTACCCGTAACTATATTTTCCAATAAAAATCCGCTCCTATCAGCAAAGAAATTTTCGGCGGTTTATTCCCTTGTCCGCATTCATCGGAAAGTTGTATGCCCTGTTTTTAATAAGATTAACTATTTCATTTCTAGGGGAATGAATATGTGATCCATTAATGACAAGAATAATTAAAGCTTCTACTTTGATTTTCATACCGATACTTCGAATTACGCAAGATGAGCCTGTTTTTTTTTTTAACATTCTGCGCTTCAGATGTCGTGCAACCGAAATAGAATATTTTTATTTTTTCTTCTCCAATAATGGGAAGTTTTAATTTCTTACAGATTCCTCTCTAATAAATGTTCGCTGCGATCCTAAATCAAACAACAAGCGAACGCTTTGCTGGCGCCAATTGCCTGTGTTTATAATTTCAGCTCGTGCTGTCAGAAGAAATGAGTTATTTGCTGTTGCGTAATCGGAAACAGAAGAGACTACTGCCCCTCTGACGATGCTATTTTAGACGCTTCAACCCATTTGCCATCGTTATTCGTGTCGTCTTCACACAATTTATCTTCTTTATGTTATTTGAGACTGCAATTAAAGTCAGCTTTCATTTGAGCGTTTTTCATGAAGAGAAACACTCTAAACAGAAATGAAGTGAGGAAAAAATTAAGCG